TTGAGATGGGATCTTTGGGGGGTGATTTGGTTGTGAGGATAGTTTGCTGAATGAGATTTGTGCTCTCACGAAAGAGACCCCAGAGAACACTCTTGCTCCTTCTGCCATGTGAGGACCCAGTGAGAAGCCCCTCATGAATCGGGACACATGCTCTCACCAAATACCAGATATGTCCATGCCCTGATCTTGGATTTCTCAGCCTTCAGAACTGTGAGAAATAAATTTCTGTAGCACTTTATTATAGCAGCCTGAACTGACTATGACAGATCCCACGGGAGCTCAGAGACATCACTTGGTGAGCTGGCATATATTCATCTAACTACCCTTATCAAGATATTGAATATTTCCGGGGCACCTTGGTGGCTCAGTGGGTTAAAGCCTCTGCCTTCAGCTCAGGTCATGATCCCAGGGTCCTGGGATCAAGCCCAGCATCAGGCTCTCTCTTCTCCCCCTCCCCTCTCTCTGCCTGACTCTCTGCCTACTTGTGATCTCTGTCTGTCAAATAAATAATTACAATCTTAAAAAAAAGATATTGAATATTTCCATCATCCTAGAAAATACTATCCATCATGCTCTTTCCTATCAATGCCAGTGTTCAGAGTTAGAATCTCTGCCCTGTGGATAAGCAGCAGCTCGAAGAAGAAAGCCCCTAACTTCTCAGCTGTGTTCACCTGGAATTAGCCTCTTCAATATAGCTGGCAAGGAATGGGAGGTGCTGGCAGCCTGCCCTTTCCTGGGAGGAGATGGAGCCTTGTGTCCTTGCTTTACCCACGTGCAGTGGAGTTTCCACCATCTTGAACTAGAATAGGGATGGAAGTAGAACCAGCAACATTATTCTTAAAAGCCAAAACTGGGAGGGGTGCCTGGGTGGCTCAGTGAGTTAAAGCCTCTGCCTTTGGCTTGGGTCATGATCCCAGGGTCCTGGGATCAAGCCCCACATTGGGCTCTCTGCTCAGCAGGGAGCCTGCTTCCTCCTCTCTCTCTCTGCCTGCCTCTCTGCCTACTTGTGATCTCTCTCTGTCAAATAAATAAGTAAAATCTTAAAAAAAAAATTTTTTTAAAGCCAAAACTGGGAATGATTGAAATGTCTATCAACTGGCGATGCATAAATGAAATGTGGTGTATATTCATCCAATGTAATAATATTAAGAATAAAATGTCGTTAACTATGGATGTGTGCTCTAACATGGTTCAATCTCAGAAATTTAATGCTTAGTGAAAGATGGCAGACACAATAGACTTTATGTGATTCCATGTGTATGAAATATTCATAAAAACAGTTCATTAGAGACTGAAAGCAGATCAATGATTTCCTGGAGCTGTGGAGGGAGTGGTATTGATTGCAAATGGGTATAAGGATCCTCTTTAGGCTAATCAAAATGTGTGACAATGACTACACAACTCTATAAATTTACCAAGAATCATTGAACTGTATACTTACAATGAATTAATTTTATATGTCATAAATTATACCTCAATAAAACATAATTAAAAGCTTGTTGGGGACTCCTGCTTCTGAGCATGAGAGGGTAACAGGGCCCAGAATTATCCTTCTGTAAACAACTAGAATACCAAACAAAATACAAGAAACCTCTATTTTCTTTTTTTTTAAGATTTTATTTATTTATTTGAGAGACAGAGATCATAAGAAGGCAGAGAAGCAGGCAGAGAGAGAGGAGGAAGCAGGCTCCCTGCTGACCAGAAAGCCCAATGAGGGGCTTGATCCCAGGACTGTGGATCATGACCTGAGCCAAAGGCAGAGGCTTTAACCCACTGAGCCACCAAGGCACCCCAAGAAACCTCTATTTTCATACATGGAATGCAGACAGGGAAAAACTGTTCTTCTTGAGAGAAGGACAAAAATGAAGTCAACCATATAATCATCCAGGTTCTTTGAGAGGAGGATAGCAGTTTGTGGATAGCAGAGTGAGAGGCGATGGGGGCACAATAAAAGGGACTGCAATTTCACTGAGTTGAGGAGCTAGACATTGAAGGTTAAGGAGACTGACCCAGCTAAAATATGTAGGTCGGAGTTTCAGACAGGAGGGAGTATTGTGGAGAAAGGGTTCAAGGTCTCCATGAAAGGTCCTTGAGTGGTTGGCAGAATACCAAATCGCATGTTCACAGGCTGAAACCCCATGAGGCCAAACAAGAAAATTTCTAAGGAGAGAAGCAATTACCGGAGAGCTATTAGATGGGAGATTCCCAGGGCTCACAAAAGGGCCTGGACTTGTGCATATCCCCTCCAGCCAGAGTGAAGATACCTCCTTGAAGCCATGGGGCACTCAGTAAAAGTTCTAAAAAGGCCATGGCATTCAAGTGAAAGAAAATGACCCTGACACTAGACCTATCTTAGGAGGAACTAAAAATTAAATAGTCTTTTTTTTTTTAAGATTTTATTTATTTATTTGACAGAGATAGTGATCACAAGTAGGCAGAGAGGCAGGCGGGGGTTGAGGGGGGGAAGCAGGCTCCCCGATGAGCAGAGAGCCCAATGCGGGGCTCCATCCCAGGTCCCTGAGATCATGACCTGAGCTTAAGGCAGAGACTTAACCCACTGAACCACCCAGGCACCCCTAAAAATTAAATAATCTTAAAAATATTGGCCCAGAGGTGCCTAGGTGGCTCAGTCGGTTAAGCATCTGCCTTCAACTCAGGCCATGATCCCAGGATCCCGGGACTGAGTCTTGCATCAGGCTCCCTGTTCAGCAGAGAGCTTGCTTTTCTCTTTCCCTCCACCCCTCCCCATGTGTGTGCTCTTTCATTCTCTCTCTCTCTCTCTCAAATAATCTTAAAAAATATATTGTCCCAATATTCAAGTAACTTAACTGCCTTAAAAAAAAGTTGGTTTTTAAAGAAATACAACAAAACCAAGCAGTCAGACACATAAAATTGACAATGTCCAGCATTCACTGAAAAATCACTAGACATACAAAGGAGTATGAACACATGACACTCGACAAGAGAAAAGTCATTCAAAGGAATCATGGTCAGACATGACACAGGAGGCAGAAATAGAAGACAAAGACATTGAAAGAGTTATTACAAGTATGTGCCAGATAGACTCAAGGATGTAAATGAAAACATTACCATTATATATTAAGAGAAGAAGAAGATTAAAAACAGGAAACATAACTTTTTAAAAAAGATTCTATTTATTTGAGAGAGAGCATGTGTGAGCACACACATGCGTGTGAGAGAGTGAGGGTCGGGGTGGGGTGGAGAGGGAGAGAGAATTTCAAGTGGACTTTATGCTGAGGGCACAGCCCAACTCAGGGTTGGAACTCATGACCTTGAGACCATGATCTGAGCCAACATCAAGAGTTGGACACTGAACAACTGAGCCACCCAGGCATCCCCAGGAAATGTAACTTTTTTTTAATGTTTGTATTTATTTATTTGACAGAGAAAGAGCACAAGCAAGGGGAGCAGCAGGCAGAGGGAGAAGAAGGCTTCCCACTGAGCAGGGAGCCTGATGCGGGACTTGATCCCAGGACCCTGGGATCATGACCTGAGCTAAGAGCAGATGCTTAACTGACTGAGGCACCCAGGCACCCCAGGAAACATAACTTTTAAAGAAGAAAATATATTATCTGAGATGAGAGTTCCACTGAATGGGATCAACAGCAGATAGAACGTTGTAGAAGAATGATCAGTGAAGTTGAAGATGTAGCAGTAGATCCTGTTCAAACAGCAAATATAGAGGGAGAAAAAGGTTGGAAAACACATGTTCAGGGCCCTGTGAGATAGCATCAGGCCACATTACATATGTAAAAGGAGAGACCCAGAGATAATGAGAGAGGAAGAATAGGAAAAAAATACTGAAATAAATATTAGCTTCAATTTTTATCAAATTTTTTCCAAATTTAATTATAATAGTGAATCCACAGACCCAAGGTACTCAACAAATTCCAAACAGGATAATATCTTTCTCTCTCGTGTTCTCCCACTCCCTTCCTTCTCAACACATACACACACACACACACACACACACCAAGGCATATATTAACAAAATAATTTAAACCCAGGGAAAAAGAGAAAATATTAAAACTCGCCAGAGAAAAAGACAAAACTACAAAGAAAGAAAGGTAAAAACTACAGAATTCTCACAAGAAACTATGAAAGACAAAAGAATTTGAAGTACCAAAAGGGAAGAAAATGTGATCCTTAAATTCTTTATCCCATAAAAAAATACCTTTCCAAACTAACTTAAACAGAAACTTTTCCAGACAAATAACAGCTGAGAGAATTCAGCACCAGCATACCCACACCACAAGAAAGATAGGACAAGGTATTCCAGCAAAAGGAAATGGATGCTACAGGGAAAATGTATACAAAAGAATAAAGAGACATCAAAGGGTTAATATGTGGATAAATATGAAATAGTTTATTTTTCTAATTTAAAAAATCTCTTTAAAATTCTCTGTTTTAGAAAATGATATATTTTGAGATTTATAGCACTGTATTGTGGGGTTGAAGTTTGGGCTTATCCAAGATAAACACACAGAAGCAACATATTACACAGGGTATGCCTAATTCAAATGAATTATAACAAAAATCCATCTGTGTCCTCCTCACCACGGATGCAGAACCAGCAGGAAGAGTCTTAATGGCCAGAGGTAGAGAGACCTGATTCCTGGAGAGGAGGCAGGGTCCAGTCCCCCAGGAACCCCTTGCTCCACAGAGCTGTACAGGAGTGAGTCTCTGGGGCGAGGATCTGTAGTTTGACAGATCTCATCCGTGGGTCAGCAGCACCACCGTGAGGAAGAGGGCTCAGTTACAACTTGCAGCCTTACTCTCTTTGGAGCCTCTGAACCTGTTGGGGGGAAACACGGTTCTGAAATAAGGGGCCAGTTCTGTGGAGGGCTTGCTTTGGAGAGGACAAGAAGAGTGAAGCCACCCAAGGTGTCCCAGAATCTGGGCTTTTCACCTAGTGTAGTAGATCCAGGTGAGGCCATAGGTCAAAAGGAAGCCAGCCCCCATGAGGGCCCCTCTGAGTAGGGTGAGGATTAGAGGCCAGGTGCCCCCAGAGATTTGGGGACAGGAACAGGAGATACCTGGGGGAAGAAGACCAAGAGGAGGAGGAGGAGAGTGAGGTTCCTTAAGTCCATACCTTAGTCTCGTTCACCTCAGAATGCAGGTGTCCCACGTATACTCATCCTGCACAGCTAGGTTCGTGCAAACGTGGTAGGAGCTCCACAAGTATTGGGCCTGGCAGGGGAATTCTCCTCCATCACCCAAGACCAGCTGGGGCAGCACTAGGACCCTGGGATTTGTGGGCTGGGAGGGGCTCAGAGTCAGGCTTCCCCAGCACCAGCTCAGCCTGGCAGGGAAGTTGCCACCAGTGTCACAGACCAGGTGCAGGGACCGGCCCTCCTGAACTTGAAGAGTGGTGGTTCTGACTAGGGTCTCTGGGACTACGGGACAGAGAAAGCCAGAAGGGGAGGGCTGAGAGCCCCTTCTCTTCCTCTGCTCTTCCACAGACACAGGCGTGGAAAATAGAGTCTCTCAAACAAGTGTTACAAGCACAGGCAAGTAAGAGTGAAGGGCCATCTGGTGAGGTGGAGAAAAGGAGAAGCACCCGATGATCCCAGGACAGGTGGATGGACCTCTGAGCAAGAGCTGGCCTGTCTAGACCTGGCAGAGGACGTCCCAAGAGGTGGGCTTTGATGTGTGATGCTGAGGAGGGGCGTGGACACACGTAGGGTCTGACCACTTGCAGGGAGAGACGTGGAGGTTCACACACAGGTGATGCTCCCAGCCTTTCCTCTGAAAGCCACAGGGAACCGTGGGAGGGTCTGAGCAGGGGAGGAACAGGGCCAGATCTAGGGCACACAGAGAGACACCTGCGGGCTGAATTGTGCTGGGCTGGAGGGGTGGGGTGTTGCGCAGAGAATGGCAGGCGGGACAGGAGGCTGGTCCCAATGCAGGGGGTCTCACTACGCGCAGGTGAGAGGAGGCAGAGGCCTGAGGGGGGGCTGCTGCCATGGAGATGGAGGAAGAGAGTCATTTGAGATATTTTCGAAGCTCGCTGAGTCATGGGGAGTGCTGGTTGAGGCAAAGAAATGTCTCAAGTGACTTCCAGGATGTTGACTCAGGTGGCTCGGGTGGGAGGGGCCCCCCAGGGAAGCGGAAGGGGCTCGGGAGGATCTGGACTGGACAGAGACGGACAGAGGGTCTTCTGGGCAGATGGGGGACTAGAGGCTCCAGGTCCCGGGCTTACTCACGGGGTCGTGCAGAAAGCAGCCCGAGGCCCAGCGTCCAGCAACAGGAACCTGTATCTAAGGCTCCTGGTGGGACAGTGAGATGTCATGGCCACAGGAGAGGCAGAGAATCAGAAAAAGGGCATGATAGGAGAGTGAGGGGAGAGAGGAGGCAGCCATAGTGACAGCGAATGGTTAGCTAGGATTCCCAGGGACTCGAGAGTCCATCCAGGGGATGGGGGAGGGGCAGATTGGGTCCAGGGAGGGGATGAGGAGCGATGGGGCTTCATTCTGGCAGACCCTCACAACATTCCCTTATTTGACCTCTGAGACATCCGTGGTGCCCTGGGGCCTCTCCCACCTGTGCTGTTTCTCCTGAAGGAGTGGACGGTCAGGTTTTGTGGAGCATCTGGAGCAGAAACAAATATGTGTCCACTTGCAGTGTGACGAGGCGGCCATGAGCAAGGGGGTGGGGCCCGAGAGTTCTCTCCCTCTTGACCCTGTGCCTCTAAGAATTCTCCCCAAGTATCTCACCCAACCCCTGTCCCCCCAACACCCCCAGCCCTCAGGGACCCTGGCACCCAGGCCTGGCACTCACAGGACACATTGAGCTGGACGGTTTTCTCCGTGCTCACACCAGCTCCGGGGAAGGTCACTCGACAGGTGAGGTTGGTGCCGTGGTCCTGGGGTCTCGGGTTGAGGGTGAGTACAGGGGAGTGGGGAGCCTTGGAGCCCCAGGAGGGGAGGGCAACTCCGATCCAGGAGAAGGTGGGGGGTGTCCCCCTCTCACAGGCCCATGGCACGCTACAGGTAATGTTCTTGGGGTGGCCAGATTCTAGGGGCCCCTGGATGTGGATGTCAGGTGTCTGTGTCAGAGCTGAGCAGGAGAGAGAGAGATCCTGCAGTGGGACCCTGAGTGTGCCCCTAGAAGCAGCCTCCACCCCAGGCCAGCTGTCTCCTCCCCAGCCAGGATGGAGATCAAGGGGTCCCTTCCCGGCCCTGCCCCAGGAGCCCTCAGGATCCATGCTTGGGACATGTGTCCTCTCCTGAAGCCCATTCCTTACCCGTCACAAACACGGAGAGCTGATTCTGCAGGTAATTATATCTCACAGAAGACCCTCTCTCCACCCTAAAGAAGTATGTCCCCGAGTCCCTTCTCTGTGCATCTCTGATGTCCAGGGAGCAGTCGTAGGCCCGGGGGTCCCCGAGGAGGCGGAATCGGCCCTGGGTCTCCTCCTGCACTTTACGACCTGGGTTGTTTGTGGCCACCGGAGCATGCTGGTATACACTGGCCCCTTCCTGGAACCAGTAGCCAAATGCCGGGAAAGACTCAGTCCAGAACATTTTGGAGTGGGAGAAGCGGCAGGGCACGGAGACGCACAGACCCTCCTGCACCTTCACCGTCTCCTGCACCAGCAGCTGGAATTCCAAGCCCTGAGCCAGGGACCCTGTGGAGAATGGAGGGTCAGCAGCAGCCCCGGCCCACCTCGCCCCCTCCCCTCGGCCCACTCACCTGTCCAGAGCAGGGGTAGAAGCAGCAGCAACGGCAGCAGCATCTTTGAGATGGAGGGTGTGTGGCCTCCGGTGGGTGAAGGAGAAGAGGAAGGCAGTGGGAGGGAGGCTGAGGGGGACCCACGGGAAGCTGGGGAGGAGCACAGGGCCTTGTGGTTCACAGAAGAGGAACTACAGCTCCAGAGCTCTCCCCGATCTCTACGCAGAGCCGGCCACACCCTTGGCTGGACACCAGGGAGACCCACTCGGGAAGGAGAGAGCAGGAGCAGACCCGTGTCCTGCCCCTCATCTCAGCACTTCCCTCTGGCACCAGAGCCTGGACCAGGACCTCTGAGGACACATGAGGCCTGGGACACAGTGAGTCTCCTGAGGTCTCTTCCATCTGAGGGGCTTGTCTGAGCAGCACCGTCTACACTGGGGAGCTAGTCAACTCCTGGCTAGACCTGGAAGGTCACATCCGCATCTAGACCCTTGGGTGTTCTGTCCTGCAAGGTAGAGGACTCTTTAGGTCTGTGTGAGCCTCTGGGGCAGAAGAAGAGATGGGATCCTGGGTGAACAGAAGGCAGCGGCCATTCATACATTCATTCATTCATTCTCCATGAGCTTAGTGAACATCTGTGTTGGAACTGGAGACGAGACAGCTGGACCTGGCCTGGTCCATCCTGTGACGGGATCCCCACCCAGGGAGCCACTTCCTCCCTAGACACACGGTGCCGTCCCCGCAGGGCTCAGAGCTACAGGCACCTGTGACTGTCACATGTCCTGGATATTTTCTAAAAATATGAGTATGAGATTATTTTTGACATGAGTAAAGCAAGTAGTAAACAAGAACAACTCTTTTTAAGCTGCAAAACTTGAACTCTACCCATTACTTTTTTTTTCTTATTTGACAGACAGAGATCACAAGTAGGCAGAGAGGCAGGCAGAGAGAGAGGAGGAAGCAGGCTCCCTGCTGAGCAGAGAGCCCGATGCGGGGCTTGATCCCAGAGCCCTGGGATCATGACCTGAGCCGAAGGCAGAGGCTTAACTCACTGAGCCACCCAGGCGCCCCAAACTCTACCTATTAAAGAACAACTTCCCATTTCCCCTACTCCTGGCCCCTGAAACCACCATTGCACTTTCTGTCTCCAGGAATTTGACTCCTTTTGAGAACTCACATAGGTGGAGTTATCCAGCACCCATCTTCTTTGTGACCAATTTATTTAACTTATTAACTTACCGTAACATCCTCAAGGTTCATCCATGTGGCAGCTTATGTCAGAATTTCCGTCCTTTTTAAGGCTGAATAATTTTCCATGATAGGGGCACCTGGGTGGCTCAATCGGTTAAGCCCCTGCCTTCGGCTCAGGTCATGAGCCCAGGATCCTGGGATCGAGCCCCGCATCGGGCTCCCTGCTCAGCAGGGCATCTGCTTCTCTGTCTCCCTCTGCTCCTCCCCCTGCTTGTGCTCTTTCTCTCTCTGCCAAATAGTGAAATTTTTTAAAAAAATCTTTCAAAAAAAATATTCCACAGTAGGTTAGGCCACGTTTTTTATCTGTTCAGCTGTTGAGGGATCCTTGGGTTGCTTTTACCTTTTGGCTCTGGTGCCTAACGCTGCTATGAACATGGGTGTGCAAATATCTCTCGGGCCCCTGCTCTCAGTTCTTTTGGATATGCACCTGGACGTGGCATTGCTGGATCATATGGTGATTCTATTACTCATTTCTTGAGGAAAGGTCATACTCCTTTATAACTTTATCTATTATCACGTCACATTAGCTATGCATTTTAACGTCTCCACTCCGGACCCCTCTTCTGATTCTGGACATTTGTACTCCTGCTCTCTCACGGACATCCCCGTTGGAGGTCAAGGGGCTTCTCCTAATGAACCTTTCAAAACCCGGCTCTCTGGAGTCCTGCCTGGAACAGGACTCTGTCCTTCCAGCTGCTCAGGGGAGACCCTGGGTATCGTCCTTGCTCCTCTCTTCCTCCCATCCCCCACATCCATTAGAGCATGCTGTTGGCCTGACCTTCGGAATATATCCGGAATATATCCTCCCCAGCTACAGTGCATCCCTGGTCCAGCGCACCACCACCTCCTGGACCCCCCTGGACCACCGCTGGGACCCCTCCACCCCCTACCCCCAGTGCCGTGCCTCTCTTTTTTGTTGCCCTGGCCCCAGTCTGGCTGATTCTGAACAGAGTAGCCATGGGGATCCTGCTAAAATGAGGGTCTCAGCATGCATCTGCTCTCTGCAAAGGCTCCCAGGATCTTGCGGTGGGCTGCAGTGGCCTTCCTTGGGGGTCTGTGCCATCTTCCGGGCTCCCCGACATTTGCACTCCTGTGCTTTTGGCCTCAGAGCTGCCGTACTCGCAGTTCCCCTCTTCCCATCTTCCTGGAATACCTTCCTCTTAGGCAAGCAAAGAGTCTGCTTCTTCCCTCCCTTGGGGCCTTTGCTCCACTCTCACCTCCCCAGCCTCTCCGCTCCCAGAAACCCAGCCCAAGGCGCTGGAGAGCTTTTCCTCCAGGTCTGTATCAATCCATGACATGCTCTCATTTTATTTTTTACTTTTATGTATTCTTTTTTTTTTAAGATTTTATTTATTTGTCAGAGAGAGAGAGAAAGAGAGAGAGAGATCACAAGTAGGCCGAGAGGCAGGCAGAGGCAGAGGGAGAAGCAGGCTCCCCGCCGAGCAAGGAGCCCGATGTGGGACTCGATCCCAGGACGCTGGGATCACGACCTGACCCGAAGGCAGCTGCTTAACCAACTGAGCCACCCAGGCGTCCCACTTTTATGTATTCTTGTCTCCATAACGACAGCACTTTGACCACAGAAGTGCTTCCTGTCCCCTTGAGTTTCTTGTGATAAAATATTCGTAAAAATAAAACTTGCAAATTTTTGATACTGTAGAGGGTGCAATTTGGGGACACTGAGTACACTCACAGTGTGGTGTAACGATCACCGCTGCCTCTTTCCAAAACTTTTTCATCATCCCCAACAGAAAGTCCACACAGTTACCCAACAACCCCTCCCCACCTCCATCCCTGAGCTCCTTGCAACCCCCATTCTACTTTCTGTTTCCATGAGTTTGCCTGTTCTGAGTAGCTTAGAGAAGCAGAATCAAACAACATTTGTCCTTTAGTGTCTGGCTTTTTCCTTTAGCATATTGTTTTCAAGGGTCATCCCTGTTGTGGCTGCACGACATTCCATTGTGTGTCTACACCACATTGACTCATCTGTTCTTTTGTTTTTAAATCATCTTTTATTATTATATTTTGATTTTGTATTCATTTGAGAGAGAGAGAGCTAGAGAGAGAGCACAAGCAGGGGTAGTGGCAGGCGGAGGGAGAAGCAGACGTCCCGCTGAGGGCAGAGCCTGACTTGGGGCTCAATCCCAGGACCCTGAGATCATGACCTGAGCCAAAGGCAGAAGCTTAACCGATGGAGTCACACAGGTGTCCCAAAACTGTTTTGCTTCTTGCTTTATGATCTGGATAATTCTTTTTTTTTTTTAATTTGACAGAGAGACAGAGAGATCACAAGTAGGCAGAGAGGCAGGCAGAGAGAGAGGGGAAATAGGCTGCCCGCTGAGCAGAGAGCCCGATCTGGGGCTCGATCCCAGGATCCTAAGATCATGACCCAAGCCGAAGGCAGAGGCCCAATGCACTGAGCCACCCAGGTGCCCCCTGATCTGGGTAACTCTTGTTTCTACTTCTTGCATTTATTGCAGTGGAAAGGATCTACAAAATACTGTTTAACAGAAGTGGTAAGGGCAGCCATCCTTCTTGTGTTTGATCCTGGTGGGAAAGTTCTGTGACCTCTGGGACTGGCCCCTCCAGGTCTTCAGAGAAATCGTTAGCAGAAACTTTCTGTTAAAGCATCTAAGAGAAGTCCTGACACACGCATGTGTGCAGAGTTCACAAAAAGCTTTGTGTCAGGACTTACTGACTCATCGATCTTTCGTGATCATCTCGCTAGATGAGGATGACTTCCCTGCTTTGTAGAACAGTAAAGTGAGTCATAAAGTGTGTCTGTGGCATAGACAGATTGGAACTCAGTCTTTTGGACACAAATCCTGGGGTCTTCCACATGTACTAGGAGATTAAAACCATTGCCAAGAAGCCCATTAATTTTTAAAAAGTCAAGGCTGAGTGTGACGGGCTGAAAAACCATAAGATTAATATATTGAAGTCCTAAACCCCAGTACTATAGTACTGAGACTATAGGAGATGGGGTCTTGAAAGAGGAAATTTCAGTTAAAATGAGGTCACTAAGGTGGGCCTTAATCCAGTACATCTGGTATCCTCAGAGAAACTTAGGACACAGACTCACACAGAGGGAAGACCAGGTGAGGACAGAGAAAGAAGACGGCCAACTACAAGCCAAGGAGAGAGGCCTCTGCTGACACGTCGATCTCAGCTTCCAGCCTCCAGAACTATGAGAAAAACAGTTCCTCACTTGTGTGTCTTGATCTCTGAGTACTCGGTGTGGATGTCTTCCTGTTCCTGATACTTCGGCTTGGGAAATCTGAGGAGAGCATAGTGGAGCTCCTGTTCCTCTTCTGAAATGGGTCTGGCCTCAGCAGGAGCTGGGGGGGCTGCAGGGATGTCCGTCCAGGACTGGTGCTGATATGCCTGAGTGGAAGCAAGAGATACTCAGAGCTGGTCAGTAGGGTCTGAGGGAAAGCAGCCAAGGACCAGAAGGGAATTGGCCCTGATGGGACTTTTATCACTTACCCATTCATTTATTTTTAAATGTTTAATAATTAAGATTGGCCAGCCCTTAATTAGTGTTTATATCAATTACGTTACATTCTTTAAAAAAAAAAAAGTCTGAGAGAGGGTATTATTTATGTATTCATCACACAAATAATAAAACTAAGGCTAAGAGAAATGATACACATTGCCCTAAGGACACACATCTATATAGGGGTGCTTGGAAGGCTCGGTCGGTTAAGCCTCTGACTGTTGATATCAGCTCAAGTCTTGATCTCAGGGTAGTGAGTTCAAGCCCCAGGTTAGGCTCCATGCTGGGTGTGGAACCTACTTTAAAAAAAAAAAAAAAAAGACACACGTCTGTATAAATGCACCATTGAGCCAACTCAAAATCAGTTCTAACTATAGTACCATCCTTTGTCTGGACAGTGTACGAGCTGTTGTGTGGAGTGACAAACAACACAACTACACAAGTACAGTTCCTGAGATCAGACGGCTTATGATTTTCTAGGAAAGGCAGTCACTAAACAAATAGAAAACAAATACATTCAAAGTTCTACATTTGAAATCTAAAACAGGCAGGGTTGGCGTATCCAGTTCCCAGGCAGGGGCAAGAAGACCTAGCAGAGGTCAGATCTGGCCATCAAGATGGCAGCCCACCTCTGCTCAGCACTCACAGCACCCTTGGGCTGTGGCAGCATGAAACAGAGGCCCTCACACAGTGGCTCAGCGAGGCAAAGAGAAAGAGTTCTCAGATTAAGAGGAAGCAGGTATTTCTCGGGGCTCTGGGGATACAACAGGGGATAAAACAATAGCAACAGCCACAAACCACCCTTGGGACTCCCCTGCTTAGGGGAGGGAATGATTCTGATTGGAGTCATGAGTCCTGGGCTTAGTCCACGCCAGGTACTGTGTTAGACACTTCTCGTCACTACTCTACGATACTCTATGGACTCGTCACGTTCCCATGTCACCAACATAAAGAGCGGTCAGAGAGGGTGTGTCACTTGCCCAAGGTCACCCAGCTTGTCTGTGGGGAAAGATGGGATTTTGAATGCAGGAGTCTAGCTCCAGAGTACATGTCTGTGGCCACTATACTGTACGAACTGCAAAAGACATTCCCTTAAAAGAAAAAAATACTGAGAATTTGAAAGTAAAGAAATGGAAGCTGTATTTCCTGATTCCTGACAAGATGGGGATTTAGCACATGCTAAGGGTCCCATTCCCCAAGGTCAACCAAGGAGAAACAAGACAGGGAATCATGGTAATTAAACTTTAAAAATGATTTTGTGTGTACTTGCTCTGCCAGTTACTGAAAGAAGAGTTTTGAAATCATCAACTATAATTGCCAATCTGTTCTCCTTGCTGTTCTGTCGGTTTTCATACGTTCATTCTGATGACTAGAATAATAATAATAATAATAATAATAAATTAATAGTATTATATTATTTATATTATTTATATTATTATATTTATATTATTTATATTATATTTATATTATTTATATTATATATTATTCTATTTATATATAATTATATATTATATAATGTATATAATATTATAAAATATTATATATAATATTATATATACTATAATATTAATTAATATTATTGATTATAATATAATATAATTTATTATTATTATTATTATTATTGGAGGCATATATGTTTAGGATTTTTACATCCAGACAAAGGGAGTAAATATTCCATGATTTCATTTATATGAAGTTCCAGACGGGACCAAACTAATCCATAGTGATAGAAATCAGTGATTGCCAGAAAGGTCGAGCTGACTGGGCAAGGGAACAAAGGTATTTGGGGACCTGAGGGAAATGTTCCACATCTTGACTGGGGACATGGGCACAGGGCGAACACCTTTGTTAAAATTCATTTCACTGCATACTTAAGATAGGTGCATTGTTATGTGTAAAGTATACCTCAATGAAGTTGATATCAAATACATACACAGGGATAGATTTGAAAAATGAAAAGTGGGAGTGATGAGTTGTGAGTTTGGGGTTCCCAAGTCTCTCTACCCTAGGGCTCAAGTCTACTGCTTCCCTAGCACCCAGTGGGTCTGGCACAGACTAAGTTTGGGTCAATGTACTTCTGGGTCATCAACCCCACAAGAAAAAGCTAATATTCCAGGGGAATGTGATACTCTGACGTAGGAGCCATAAATATCTCTACAAGCAACTGGGCTATATACTTAGTCCATCAGAAGCAGAAGTATTAGAGCAGTTGAATCAGGAATTTAAAATAACCACATGTGGAACTCCAGGGAGTATTAGATATAAATCGGGAAATGCTCAGGTGCCCTGACTGAGGGCTCCTTCCAAAAGCCATTTGCTGGATAGGAGCTCACAGCCTGTCACTCACCCCAGAGCCTGAGCTGCCAGCTGGGCTCATATCCATGCTTTGCACTGGCTGGACTGTTTTCTTCCTGCCGGTCTTCACTCTAAGGGAACAGCCGCGGGTCTTTCAGCTTGGTTATTTGGGGCATGCAGTAGGCAGACCATCCCTTGCACCCCATGAAGGGCATAGAATGAGGTAGGTGGAGGTGGTCCAGTCCCCAGGTGCTCGCCCTAACCCAAGAGCTGGACCAGGGGCTGGAAGAGGCCCCAGGCTTGGCCCAGTTGGGTATGGGTTGATTCACACTACCACGCAGCCTCCTTCCCTGACTGCTGGATTTCCAACCAGCCCAGGCTCCTCTAGCTCAGGCTCTCCGAGATTCCACGACCTTATCCCCTTCCCTCTCCAGGCTTCTCCCTCTATCCCTGGACCCACTCTCACCTGAAGATGAGGCAAAGGCAGAGGGAAAGCAGGGCCATGGTTCCAGCTCCCGCAACTGCTTCTATGACCCCACTGGTCCTGGGTTCCGGTTTATCTGCTGAAAATTTGAGTTGTGTGTAAGCTCCAGCTCCAATACATGGCACGTTCCAACTGGCCACTTCCTTCTCTCCCCACCCCCCATTAGTATGCCCACTACCCATCTAGGACTCAGTCATGTGACATTCCACTGCCCAGGGGACCCTGAAGCAGCCCCTTCCCCAGGCCTCAGGACTGAGGATCTTAAACCTCCAGCTGCTCCATTTGGGGCCTTGGTAGCTCTCCCCCACCAGCCCCATCTCTCCGGGGCTGTTATGGGTTGAATTGTGTCCCCCACCAAAGTCATATGCTGAAGTCCTAGCCTTCTGGTATACCCTTCCACCCAGCATCTCAGCATGGGACCTTACTTGGAAACAGGGTCTTTACAAAGGTAACCGAGTATTAAAATGGGACTGCTAGGGTGGGCCATAACCCAATATGGCTGGTGTCCTCATAAAATGGGGCTGTTTGGACACACACACACACACACACACACACATACACACACAGGGGGATGCCATGTAAGCATGGAGGTATAGGTTGGGGTGATGCTTCCACAAGCCAAGGAACACCAGATTGCCAGCAAACACCAGAAGCTAGGGGAGAGGCTGGAAAAGGTTCTCACAGCCTCAGAAAGAACTGATCTGCAGACACCTTGATCCTAGGCTTCCAGCCTCCAAAACTGGAAGACAGTAAATGTCCATTGTTTAAGCTGTCCAGTTTAAGGTACTTTGTTACAACATCCCTAGAAAATTAATACAAGGGCCAAGTTCTTCTTCCTCCAGGCATCACTCCCCAACAGACCCCAGACCTGGGAGCAGCAGGACAGCGGCACTCTGTTTCCCCTGCGCATTCTGGGCCTCGCAGCTGAGTCTGAGGCCAGAGCCCAGCGGCCCACTGAGGCTCAGGGAGCTGTTGGCCCAGGGCCCCACAAGGCTGGAGGTGACAGTCCAGGAGGCGTTGCTGTGGTTCCCCTCCAGCAGCTCCTCCCCCAGCCGCCAGCGCAGGGTGGGCGCCCGCTGGGCTCGGGAGGAGCAGTTACAGCGCAGCCCCTCGCCCTCCCAGGAGCAGGAGGGGCTGAGCAGCTGCAGGGGGTCTGCGAGAGAAAGGGGAAGGGTCAGGGGTGCCGCTGATCTCCAGGCCCCCCCGGGCAGCCTGCTCCCAGGCCCCGGGCAGCCTGCTCCCCACACTCACAGACCACAGAGAGATGCAGGGAGATGTGCTGGGAGCCCAGCAGGTTCTGAGCTTGGCAGATGAGGTCTCCTTCCTCCACAGCCCCTGCTTGAGATACGTCCAGGATTGGACTCCTGCAGATTGGGGTGGCTTTCCAAGTGGGGGACCCCCGGAACCAGCTCAGCTCAGCAGGGGGGTTGCTGTCAGTAACACAGAGCAGCTGCAGAGCCTGGCCCTCCAAGATGAAAACTGATGAAGTGTTTTGCAGAGTCCCCAGGGCTTTGAGGAGAGAGAGAGAGAGACCTGAGTTTTATGAGGCTGGTGTTTCTCTCCTCTTGCAATGTCCACACTTGCTCTGAGGAGGAAACTAGCAGAGTCCATGCCAAAGGCCTGCAAAGGAGGCTCGGACGATTTCCCTGGAGCTGCTCCAACTGTCCAGCAGATGGAAATCTGAGGACCCGGGACCGGAATATCGTGAACAAAGGCAGGGAAAGGGTCAAAGAGGAGCCCAAAAGCAGGAGGAGGATTTGCCCAAAGAAAGTTTAGGTGAGCGAACATTCACTTCAGGGAGTCAACGTTGTTGGGGGCTTCTCCCCACCACTCTCCCCATGCCTGAACTCAGTGACTGGCTTCTTGTACATGTCTCATGCAATTCCTGGCCAGCAGGAGCTCTGAGACCCAACAAGGACTGTCCTGGTAGACCCAGTTTCCACCCCAGCCCTGGAGAAAAGAGGTTCTTTCCTACCTGTTCTGCTTCCTTGGAAGATCCTGATGGCTGTGTTCTGTGGAGCATCTGGACAGAAGGATGAGGCAGCCTCAGCACTCACGGTAAGAGAGGAGTGTGTGCTGGGCCTTCCTCCCAGGAGCCACAGAAGCAGGTAAAGGGGTTCTCTTCCTGCTTAGCTACCAAGACCCCATTGTCAAGCCCTAGCCCAGCTCCGCCCTGGTCTCGCATCTCAGGGATGTGGGCATCCTGGTCCCACACTCACAGGTGACATTGAGCTGGACAGTCCTTTCCACCATCACACCAGCTGCAGGGAAGTACACTTGGCAGGTGAGGTTGGTGCCGTGGTCCTGGGGCCGTGGGGTGAGGGTGAGCACCGAGGAGAGGTGAGTCCTGGGGCCCAGGGAGGTGAGGGCAGCTGACGTCCAGGAGAAGATGGGCGGCGTGCTCCTCTCACAGGCCCAGGGCACAGAGCAGGTCAGGTTCCTGGGGTGTCCAGACTCCAGGGTTCCCGGGATGATGATATGAGGTGTGTGGGTCAGGGCTGTGAGGACAGAGAGGATAGATAGGGGCCTCTCGTTGTTTTGTTATCCTGTCCCAGTGTCTGGCCATGGCTGTCTCCACCCCTCACCGTCCCCCAAGAGGAACAGAATGTTCATTTTTCTATCTCTGGGGCCTTTCCCTGGGCCCTTACCATACCTGTCACATTCAGAGAAAACATAGTATCTAGATATGAATATGTGCCCAGGTGAAAGAAGTAAGTCCCACTGTCCCCCATGTGGACTTCCGTGATGTCCAGGGAGCAGTTCCCGGTCTGGGGGTCCCCACGGATGAAGAACCGGCCCTGGGTCCTCTCATGCAGCTTCTGGTTTGGTTTGTTGGTGGCCACTGGAGGATCTTGGTTTACATCTGCCCCTTTCTGGAACCAAGACACGTAGGCGCTTATAAAGGAAAGCCAAGGGTAGGAAAATTCGCACGGCACGTGGACACACAGACCCTCCTGCACTGTCATGGACTTCTGGAGTTTCAGCTTGTAGCTCAGAACTTGAGCCACAGACCCTGGAGAGACAGAGAAGGAAAAACTCATCCCAGAGCTCCAATGCCTCCCCCGAGTGGGGCCCCCTCTCCCCTCAGCCCACTCACCTCTCCACAGCATGAGCAGCAGCCACAGTGGCATCCCTCCCCGATGCCCGGGACAGCCTCTGCGGTTCCTCTGATAGAGAAAAGAAGCCACAGGTTACGGGAGGGCAGAGGAAGCTTCGACCGGAAGCCTGTGGTAGAAACAAAAAGTCACAAACCTAGAATAGAGAACTTCAGACCCACAGTCAACTGTGATTAACCTTTGAAATAGTCTGGTTCCCTTTCTGTGTGTGGCAGGTGGGTGCTGAGGCTCTGAGGCGGCAAAGGTCTTGCTTAAGTAAGGCAGCGAGGAGGGACGAGAGCCTCCAAGTCCTGCCTCTTGGGCTCCTGCCCAGTGGTCCAAACTGGACACCTGTTCCTGGACAGAGAAGTGGTTCTGAACTTGGGTTTGGCTCTTGGCCACTTGAAAATAATATTCACACACACCTAGAACTAATATAACACTGGATGTTTACTATACTAGAATTAAAGGAAAAGGAAAGAAAATCAATACTTGGGAGACAAGAGATGGTGCTTTATTCAGGAAGCTGGCAACCTGGGAAGATGGCAGACTGATGTCTCAAAGAAGGCATAGGAAAAGGAAAGGGAGCTGCATGCAGAAGAAGCAGGTTAGTCATGTGCGGACATGACCCTGAACAGACTGGCTGACATCCACAGCAGCTCTGTTCACAGGTGGTCATGGCTTCTCTCTTGGGAAAGTCTGGTCCTTCACTCCTCAAGGCTAGTGGTCTACCAGTCTCAAAGAAAGAAAGTTAGTTCTGCTGCAGATCAAGAGACGTAAGTCAGCATGCAAGGAGAGCATAAGCTTGAAGCAAATTAACCCTTCAGACCTGTTGGAATGCTGTTAGAGTCCCAGCCAGCCAGCCCTCCAGAGGAGAGTCACAGCCTCAGGATCGTCATGGATGTGGCCTGCTAGGGACGGGTCTCAGGATAGCCTTCATAGCTTCAGAGGCTTAAAAGAGTCCAGATGAAGCAAGAGAAGCAACACACATCTTCACTTCATCCATCCATCCATCCATCCATCCATTCACAAAATAACATTAAAAAAAAAAAAAAGATTTGAACCAGTCCTGAACTTCAACTAACTCAAGCAGTGGGGGAAGACGACAAACTTGGGCTTCATCTGAAGGCAATGGGGAGCCATGGAAGGTTCTTGAGCAGGAAAGAGGCAGGGTCATATCGTTATCAACATGATCCCTCTAAGGCCAGTTGTAGGGAAGAACTGGAAGGGAGAGGCTGGAGGCCAAAAGGCCAGAGAGGAAACTGTTGTGACTTTGGGGGAGGGGAGAACCAAGCCTAGGTGGAGATAGCAGCCTTGGTGATGGAAGAAAGAATGATTTAAGACACTTTTAGGAAGTGAAACTGAAAGAGAGGTGCAGTGGGTGGGGGAGGGACTATTAGAGGGACTCCCAGAGCCCTGACGCTAGTGATGGGGGCTGGAGGTGTCATGGCCAAGAGTAGTGAATGTGCAGGGCTAGGCTGGGAAGAAGGCGGTGGGAAAGGTAGCAGAGTTCGCCCCAGGGGCAGGTATACTCAGTGGGGGGAGCCGGGGTCCCTGGGTGGAACCGTGGGAACACACATACACACACTCAAGCTTAACTGTGGGAATAGGAGTGAGGGACTGAGGTGGCCTGGCCAGGAAAGTAGCAGGAGACATGGTCCTTGGTGACCCTGGTGAGAGTTTTTCCAGGAAGGAGCTGGAGGGGGCAGCAGCCAGACCATGAAGGGGGCATTCAACAGGACATCATCAGCCTTCTCCCCTCTGACCTCTGACTTCTGCCCTGAGCAGCAGAAACCCCACTTCCATCACTTCCCCAGAACAGAGTGTTTTTCCTACTTGTGCCATTTCCTTGGACAGGGCCCCATACCAAGATTCCTAGACTATTCGGACCAGACAATGACAATATTTTCTATCTCAACTTGGAGGTGGCGGCTAACACTTTGGGTCTACAGAACGCTGGTGAAGTGAAACTCTCATACTTTCTTCTCCTTCCTCATGCCAGGCTTTTAGCCAGGCCTCAAGTCACACAGGTCCTCAGGGACCCAGGTGTCCTGACCAACAACTGTAGGAGACATTGACCCAGGTGGTGTCAGGAGTTTAGCCGAGCGAGGGGTCTAAGCAGACAGCTCAAGCAGCAATGAGTCAAAATGAGAGTAGCAATGAAGCCTTTAATCACATACTATGGTATATTCTACCGGAGTCTAAATGGGAGAAACCACCGCCTCCTCCCTGTCCCACTTTCCCCAACAGAAAGATGATTGGGTGCTAAAGGAAAAAATATATATGATTCTAGGGGCTCCTGGGGGGCTCAGTTGGTTAAGCATCTGCCTTCGGCTCAGGTCATGATCCCAGGATCCTGGGATCAAGTCCCGCATCAGGCTCCCTGCTCAGTAGGGAGCCTGCTTCTCCCTCCCCCTCTGCCTACCACTCCACCTGCTTGTGCTCTCCCACTCTCTCTCTCTCTCTCTCTTTCTCTGTGTGTGTGTCAAATAAATAAATAAATAAATAAATAAATAAATAAATAAATAAATAAAATATTTTAAAAAAAGATGTGATTCTAACTGTCAAGGGAAAAATTATTCATGACACTCCTTTAGGAAGGATAAAGACTGTATTCAGGGCCATTGCAGTAGATACAGAAACCACCACAATGGGGTTTGGCAGCAGGAGAGAGACTGGGCTCAACTCTGAATACAATAAAGAAAAGTGGGAATTTAAAGCCAAGGAGCAGGATGAGGGTCAGTGGAGGGAAAATCATTTTGAGGGGTGGAGATGGGGAGGTAGGAGTGGAAAATACTGAGTTCTGAGTCAGAGTGGGGAAAGTGTCTTCAAGGTTTTCTCCTCTTTCCCCCATAAGGAGGCCTCAGTGGAGGAGCTTGAAGACCTCTGCCTGAGGCCCCAGGTAAAGAGGGGTCAGAATGAAGACCCCTGGCCTGTAGATGCAACTATGTGAGGAGAATGACCAGCCAGAAAGGTCTGAGTCCTTGACAGGAGCAACTCTCTTCAGACCTTTTGATGCCCTGGCTGTCAGCAACTCTGGAGCAGGGAGGGCAGCTTTGCCCCTTGAGGCCTGTCCTCCAAGGAAGGCCTTCATCTGTGCCTGTGACTGGCCTGGAAAATCACATACAGGTTTTAACCAAGGGCCTTCTCAGACGGTACTGTCCACAGAACTACCACTTCCTAGGCAGGTCACCTGATGTGTAGTGCTGGTGTCATGATCTTGGGATCTTAAGATATGCATGAGTACTAAGGGATGGGGGGTCTTGGGGCCCAGGGAGGTGAGAAGCATCTTACAGAAGCTCCTGGAAAAGTGCTCTTCAGATTCTGAAATGACTCTGCCCTACAAGTTATAAGGGTATAGATTTGGTGTATATGGTACAAACTGGGGAAGTCAGCTTTTCCCCTGGAGGAAAAGACTCAGATCCTAGAGTGTGATCTTGGGCACAACCTCTGCAATGGCCTCTCCTTCTATTAGCCTCAGTGCTCTGTACATCTCCCCCACCCTCTAGATAAGGAGATGTGTTCCCATTTCTGGGGTCCTTCCCTGGGAACACTTGGCTATTTGTCACATTCAGAGACAGTGTCATATATTGGAAGCCATATTTCTCTACCTTTTTTTTAAAAAAAATTTTTATTTTTAAGTAATCTCTACACCCATTGTGGGGCTTGAACCCACAACGTTGAGATCAAGAGTTGCATGCTCCACTGTCTGGGCCAGCCAGGTGTCCCTATATTTTTCTATCCTGAAGTATTTCCACTTCTCTGAATTTTGGTAAATCTGATGCTCAGAGAGCAACTAGGGGCCCTTGGGTCCCAGAGGAGGTTCTCTCTCTTTGGTTTTGTTAGGATCTGTGGCCAGAGAAGAATTATGATGTCTCTCAGCCAACTCCAAGATCTAAAAGTGGGCATTGATAAGTCAAAGTCAATCTTAGGAAGGTCCTGCAGCACCTAAACACTTTGAATGTCTTCCTTCGCTTCCAAAGACAATGCCTTAGTCAGCCTCCTGATATTACAGTCCTTTCTTTATTTGACAGACACCGAAGTATATATTTTTTATTTTTTTTAAGATTTTGTTTTGTTTTTACTTATTTGACAGACAGAGATCACAAGTAGGCAGAGAGGCAGGCAGAGAGAGAGGAGGAAGCAGGCTCCCTGAAGAGCAGAGATCCCGATGCGGGGCTTGATCCCAGGACCCTGGGGTCATGATGACCTGAGGCAAAGGCAGAGGCTTTAACCCAGTGAGCCACCCAGGCGCCCCTGAAGTATATTTTTTTTAAATCTTTTAGGATCTGGCACATAACTAGAGTCAGTAAAGGATCATGAGACTTGTTCTCCATCTTTCAAGGTTCCATTTGGGTATCAGCCAGAGCCTGAGAAAGAGAAAGAGGGAGAGAGGGTGGAGGAGAGAGGGACAGAGGAAGAGGAAAAGGGAGAGGGAAACAGGAGGGAAAGGGGAAGTGGGGAGGAAGATATCAGCTTTTTTGATAGAGAGGCCCTGCTTGGAAGAAGTGGAGGAGAGAGTAAAGGTTTATCCAGACAGGGAGGGATCTCTGAAGAGATTGGGGGTGGAGTCAACCCTGAGAGGCAAGAAACCAAGTGTATATGAGCAGTCCCACACTGAGGGTATGACCGCACATAAGGCCCTAACTCCCTGGGGTGGTAAGGAGTCTGGGAAGGGCAGAGCTAAACTGGGAGGCACTTACCCTGTTGGTATCTATCCCCAGGACTTCCCGATTCTCCCATCGCGTCTGCCCACAGAGGGAGTGCTCTATCCAGCCAAGACCCCGAAATTAGGCAGTGCCGCTGTCCGTGGTGCTGAAGCAGGATTAGGTACCCAGTTCGGGAATAATTGGGCTGTGCAGAAGGGTCTCAGTCCAGGAAAGCAACTGAGTCAGGACTGGGCCTGCCTAGGAGTGAGAAAGCTGGGAAGGAGCCAACCCCTTTCCCACTCCTCCTTCCTTACCCTGCCGGCTAAAGTTGAATCAAACCCCTAGCAGCCAAGCAGTTGAATCAAAGCCCCTAGCAGCCCATCTCTAAACTTAGTGTTATGTTAGAAAAATAAAACCCCATTTATTAAGGTTCCTGAAAGTCCGCCTTGTTGTAACT